AAGATCAGTTGCATCCTGGCTTTTTAGGAGGTGGGGGATAGATAGCACTGAGTAATGCAACTGGTTCTTAAGCTGGGTTCAGTAACCTCTTCTGGACTGCAGGCTGGTGGTCTGAGGTCCCTTTCTTGGGTTGGAGTGAAGGATTTGAATTATTTATCTTTTGGATCTTTATATCAAATTTCTCTTTAAGGATAACCCATTCTGTGGATAATGGAGGAAAAAGTCCAGGGAAAGGTTAACACCTAGTAAACCTTCTAGAGAATACCCTCCCTTCTGCCATTCTTGATGAGTCTCTAGCTAGCCACAGACTTGTTAGTCGGGGTTTGGGATGGAAACTGGGCTTCAGAAAGTCCCTGGCTTCAGGTTGAGGAAAATTTCTGACCCACGTTGAGTAGAAATATCCAGAGTACAGGGGATTTTGTGAGATGGGCTTGGGTTTCTGGAATAGGATGGTCACTCCCTACTCAGCTCCAGGGCCAGAAGAAAGGTCAATAGGAGTAGGAGTGATGGCATCCTTCCAGAAAACTGCCTGGGTCAGAGCTACTCAGATCAGAGCAGACAAAGCCCCTGGAGGAGAAGATGTGGATTGTCCAGTACTGGTGGTATCCAGGACTAGTGGAATGTTAGAGGAGGGTGCTGCCCAAGACAAGGGAGCAACTAGGGGCCTGGGAAGGCAGAAGAAAGAAGTGGCCTTACTCCAACCCAATCCACACATGAAGAAGGTGTGGGCTCAGTGACCTCACAGATATCTTAGACCTGTGCTCCTTTGGTTTTGATGGGTGTTATGGTGCAAGCTGGTTTGTGGAGGTACTCTGGTTTGGTTTAGGTGAAAATGACACTGTCACCACATTGACATCTCTACTGCTGAGTCACAAGGCCAAAGGAAGAATAAAGAACAAGGAGGTGGAGGGTGTTGAGGTTGTGGCTGCAACTACTGGAAGGGCTGAGACCCTCCTCTGACTGAACGGAACCAAGAAAGTCCTCTTTTCTCAGCTCTTGGGTCTTTTTCCATCTTAATAAGATCATGAATAATTGTTTAGCAGGCTAGATACATGGATAAGAGAGACATGGATCCTACCCTTGAAAAGCTGATAATTGATTGGCACAGACTGAAAATTTTTGCTCAGAGCAAAAAATGGCCAGGGCTCTGGTGAAATGTGCTTGGTAATAAGAGAGGTTTTGACTTGCCCTAGGAATATGTGGAGTTGGACATATCCAAAAAAACCCAAATAGTAATCCTTCCTGTCTTACCACCACCACAACCTCATATTTTCTAAATGTTTAGAAATTCCTCTTTGAAATTAATATCTCAGTTTTGAACAAAAGTCCTGGACTTGATATTCATTGGATTGAAATGAATATTGAGGCTATCAAAATCAAGTGGCTTGATTGGATAGGAAGAAGTCACTGAAAAAACTATCAACATTCCAGTTGCTCCAAAAACAAAGTATCTTATCAATACCTGTGGCGGGAGACATACTTAAGCATTAATGTTGATGCTCCCAAAACTTTGCTCTTCTCATTTACATGTTCCATATTTAACTAGATTTTTATGATAAATATGCATGACTTTTATATCTGGACATTTTCCCATTTTCTAAGTAGTGTCAGTGATCAGTGTCAGACATTCATTAAACCACTTCTTATTTCAGTTTAGTCTTTTCTTCCTACGTGGAAGTTTTGAGAATAAGATTCCTTTGTATTGAAAAATGGTAGAAAATATCCAATAGTCTATAAGATATCTTTGAGGCAGATCTTTGTTAATAATGAGTTTCCTTTGGGTTAAACACACACCTGTGTATTTTCCTCTATAACATATATTTTGAATAGTTGTGACAATATTAAATATGCTATTTGTTATTCTATATTTAGTCACTTAACATAAAACATGATAAGCAATTCACAAGAGTATTAAAACACTTTAATAAGCAGAATGTGATTTTTATTTATGTATTTTAAAGTGAAGCAACCAAAAATTAAAATAACTAGTGACAACAAAAATTTTGGTGTATTTTTCTGCTATGTTGAAAGTCTTTTAAGCTTTAGTGTATAATATATGGAGCACATTCCTCTCTAAGGAGAGAGCATTCCCCTTACTGGGTTATTTTACTTCTTAATAAACTGTTGTTTAGAGTAGTTTATATTAACAGAACAACTGTGAAGATGACACAAAGCTTTCATAAACTCCATATCTAATTTTGTGGTTATTAATATTTTATATTAGTATGCTATATTTGTTACATAAATGAATTGCTATTGATCAATTATTGTTAATAAGGTTCATAGTTCATTCAGATTTCTTCAGTTTTTACCCTCTCTGATCCAGGATCACTTCCAGGATACTACATTACAGTTGATTCCTTTTGGCTGTGATAGTTTCTCGAACCCCTTGCTTTTAATGACCTTGAGAGTTTTGAGGGATGCTGGTCAGGAATTTGTAGCATGTCCCTGTACTGGGATCTGTCTCATGTTTCTCTTATAATTGGAGCAGAGTTATGGGGTTTGGGAGGAAGATTACAGAGGTTAATGTCATCTTATTATCAACATGATTTATTTAGTTTTTGTGGATTAAAAAAAATGACCGCAGAATGCACTACAATTCTTATTACACATATATACCACAATTTTTCATATCTCTGTATATAAAGTATGTTGACACCCAATTCGATTCTTCATACATGTACTTTGGATAATGATATCAACATGATTTATGAATGTTGACATTGACCTTCGTCACATGGCCAAGGTAGTAATTTATCAGATTTTCACTGTAAGGTTATTCTTTTTATTTCCTTCTTTCCAGACTGTACTTTTGAAAGAAATCACTTAAGGAATGGAGACTTAGATAGCCAACCCTGTCTGTAAGCTAGAGAACATGTTAAGTAATTTAGCCAGTGTTGCCTATAGTCCAGGGCACTGGGAAGCTGGCAAGCTGAGAACTTCCCAGTGAGCAGCTCACCTAGAGTAGGCGCTTAGCCTAGAGCTACCAGAGAGCAGCTGACTGGCAAGTCAGGAGCTTCTTCTCCAGGGAGTTTTCTGAGCAGATGCTGAAAAGCTCTTTGGCTGGGAGGCTAAAAATTCATGTGGGATTAGTATCAGATGTTTTTTTTTTCTTTTTGCTCTTTCCACATTTTTATATTGATGTATTGTAGTTGTACATAATGATGGAATTTGTTATTACATATTTGTACACACACTATATATAACCATATTATTTAATATTACTCCCCAGCATTCCCCCTTCCTTTCCCTCTGCTCTTCCTGTGGTCGTTTTTTCTCTACTGATCTCCCTTTGATTTTCATGTGATCTTTATCCTTTCCAACTTTCTTTTCCTTTTTCCTCTCTAGTTTCACATATGAGAGAGAATATATGACCCTTGACCTTCTGAGTTTGGCTTATTTCAATTAAGATAATGGTGGTCTCTAGTTCCATCCATTTTTTGGCAAATAAAATATTTCATTTTTTTTCTTATGCCTGAATAGAATTCTATTCAGGTTTATATACCACATTTTCTTTCTCCATTTATCTGTTGATGGACTCCTAGGCTGGTTTCTAGTTTGGCTAATGTGAATTGTGCTGCTATAAACATGGGTATGCATGTGTCACTGTAGTATAATGACTTTAATTCTTCAGGATATATACTGAGGAGTAGTATAGATGGGTCATATGGTGGTTCTAGACTTTTGAAGAACCTCCATACTCATTTCCACAGTGGTTGTACTAATTTACAATCTCATCAACAGTGTAAAAAAGTTTCTTTTTTCTCCGCATTTTCTCCAGAACTTATTATTGTTCATATTCTTGGTGACTGCCATTATGTAGTGTCAGATGGACTTGAAGGCATCTGGCCCTGAGGAGGAGTTGAGGGAGGACTGATCCCTTGACTGAAAGAGACCTTCTCTGATGTTGGGAGGTCTGGGCTCAGCACTGCTCTGTGGAAACCTGTCTGTGTAACCCGACTGAGGTCAGATATTTCATTTTTAGGCTTTTTTTTTCTGTTAAAGGAGACTCTGGGCCTGTGACACTTATTATCTTCATACACTCTAGTCACAAAATATATTCCTATAAATAAATGCATCACCCAATTTGAAAATGTATGCCCTGTTTCGTAATCTTTTGAAATGCCTGAATTTTTTTTCTTTTCATTTTGTGCTTTCTGTCACATGCAGAAAACCAAGTTCTTCTTGTGTATCTGTCTCACCAGGTTTTTTATTTTAATTATTTATTTTTTTGGTGTGTGTCTGAAAAAGTTGTGTGCTGTGAAAGAGATTAAGCCAGAGAGTGGCTTATTGGGCAAAGAGATGAAGATTCAATCTTTTGAGGATATCATGATTGCAGAGAGATGCTTTACCCAAACTAAAAGAGTGTGATGGAGCAGGAAGGGGAAAGTGTTGACTGTAGCCCGAAGCCCAGGCTCTCTCTGCTGCAACCACCAGCCTGGCTAAGATCTCTGAGGGTTGGATTGGTGTGTCCTTGTCAGTCTGGCTTAACATGCAGCAATTCAGTCAGACTTTAAGTGTGATGTCTTGATGATCAGAGGAGCTTCCATTTTCCTCATAGATGTAAGCTTGCCTATTTTGGTTCAATTGTGGGTAAGGCTAGGTCTCAGTAATAACTAGGGTTACATTTTACACTGGCCCAGGCTTAAAGTCAGGCCCCAGATTTCAGGAAAATATGAATATTTTTCATATCTGAGTTTGTCAATAGTGTTCATTTTCACTCCATAAGAGCTAAATCAGGGGCAGGGGTTGTGGCTAAGTGGTAGAGTCCTTGCCTAGCAATGTGTGAAGCACTGGGTTTGATCCTCAGCACTATATAAAAATAAATAAATAAAAATAAATATTGCATCCATCTACAACTAAAAATATTAAAATAAAACAGTTACCTCAGGACTGACACCGGTCCATAGGCACAGACCCGTGTGTCCTTGGGCTAGAGAGTGGGATGTCTGGCTTCCAATTGGGAACATTCTTTGCGCTAGCGACGAAAGAAGGAATTAAAAATGGGTGATGTTGAGAAAGGCAAGAAGATTTTTGTTCAGAAATGTGCCCAGTGCCACACCATGGAAAAGGGAGGCAAGCACAAGACTGGGCCAAATCTCCATGGACTCTTTGGGCGGAAGACAGGTCAGGCTGCTGGATTCTCTTATACAGAAGCCAACAAGAACAAAGGCATCACCTGGGGAGAGGATACACTGATGGAGTATTTGGAGAATCCCAAAAAGTACATCCCTAGAACAAAAATGTGTCTTCGTGGCATTAAGAAGAAGGGAGAAGGGCAGACCTAATAGTTTACCTCAAAAAAGCCACTAATGAGTAATAGCTACTGCCTTATTTATTACCAAACAGAAATTTCTCTTGGCTTTTTTATGTGCACCATAATTTAATTGATGTGATACACCAGAAATCAGATCATGAATGACTCACAAAATATTTTTACTTAAATCCTGATTTAAGTAAAACTGACTTGTAGTTAAATTAATATTTTGGTTATATTCCCACTTCAGTAAATTCTATAACTGTTTCCCCTTTTTAAAGTTATGGTTGGACTTAATTAGTAATGTTCAGTATTTCACAAAAACTGGTTTTATATTTAGTTTTATAGAACTGATTATGTGAATATGTTTAAATATGGGGAAAGCCATTCACTCTCTCAGAACCAAGCATGATTCACATTTGTTTCAATTTGTGTTCATTACCCTATTAAAGGCAGTGGTTGAAGATAAGGAAGCAGTGTCTACTTTATATTTTTGTTGACCATGCCAATTTAATTAGAATTCCCTGTATCTAAAATGCTGTTCTTTCCTTATGGAAAGACATTTTAGTGTGGTTTATGTATGATATTAAATAAAGAATATTTAACACTTCTCACATTTTATAGCTGATCCATAAGTTCAGACGCTTTTAAGTCAGCATAATACAATAACAAGTTAGACTTTACTTTTTAATTCTTTATTTTCTAAGACTAAGTTATCATTCAGGATTGTTTTTAAACAACTGTTCAGAAATAATACTTTGGAACATCTAGGTGGTTGGTAGTGGTGCTTTTTGCCAACTTATTAGATGGAAAGATTAAGGTAAAAGAGATATACCCATCAGTACAAATTTGTAAAATTTTTTACCATAAGATTTAAGATAATTAAAAACAATCAGAGATCCAAAAAAAAAAAGTTACCTCAGGACAGTCCTGTTCACAATCCTCTCCCCCCACCATCTTCCTCCAGCCTCCTGGGAGGGAATGCTCTTAAGCAATGATAGATTAGACCCCATAATCAGCAATTCTTGGGTCTGCTGTGATAATGCACCCCAAAACTGTACCATGTAACATCAGGACAATTCAAATACGTTTTATTATCTTGAAAAAAAAGATGACTGTGATTCTTATAAATTTTAAGCTCAGATGCAGAAAAGCCACAGAAAAACCATATGGATTCCATGATGACTGCTGCTTTGCAGGGACCCTACTGGCTGGCACACAGTATTTGCTCAATGAGCATTGATGTATTGGTTGATGCAGAATACTGCTTTGGTCCTGCTATAGAGGCAGGCTGTCTCACTTAGATGAACATTATAGTCCAGGGTACCAATCAGTGAGTTCTGTTCCAGAGGCCAGACTGTCAGTGGTGCCCAAAAGGAAGAGCCTGTAAGGGATCAGGCTGCTGAGTGTGACCTGTCTTTGTTGGGCTCTGTTGAATGACATGGCTTTGACCCAGGTGAAAGCTCTGGACTAGAGTTCTGAGGACATATCCTGCCTCCTGGTCCTTTATGAATGGGGCAGAAGGTGAGCTAGTGCTCAAGGTTCATCAAGGATAAGAATCTTGGTAAACACAGATAGAAAGGGTGCTTAATCCTCACAGAATTCCAGGGAACCTGGACATGGGAGGTGGAGAAAAGCTGGCTCAGACTAAGATGGAAGGTCATTTGAGGGGAGGATGGGTTCTCAGGAGACCAGACACTGCACTGGGCTCTGGCCCCATGACAGGGCAGTGACAGACACTTAAGGTGCATCTGGGGACACTGAAAATTCTTCCTGAAACTGTTTATGCTTCCAAGCTGCCAGTTGTGCTGACTTGGAGAGGGAGCCCTGCATGAAACACACCTTTCCAAGAGGCTCCTACCTATTACCATTAGGGTGGGAATTATGTAATTTCTTTTCCAAATCTGGGTTCTTTTGTGTTTTCATATTGGCCCTGAAGGTGGGTAGGGTAGGGATGTAGGTACAGAATGAGGTAAGATGGCATTGTAGGAATGAGTTTTGTCTAGAGAGGGTCCTTTTTTCCTGGGTAGCTTAAACTCAGCTTGCTGCAGGGAGCTGGCATTGAACACTAATTTGGAGCCAGTATCAACACAGCAAGGTTTTATATTCTAGAGGTGGAAGGTGGAGTGTGCCTGAGGGGAAGCATGTAAGGAATCATAAATGTGAGCAGTTCCTGCTGGACATATAGTCAGCAACCTACAGAATGTTATGCTGGTGAAGAAAGGAGGAATCCATCATTTCAGTTGTAGAGATGAAAGTTTATTAAGCACCTGGCAGTCTCCCCTTGACTCCTCTACCCAGTGCACTTTGGGGCTTTGTTTAAGAGAAGATGAAAATCAATCCTGGAGGCCCCTCAGTCTTGTGCCTGGAGTTTGAAGAATTTCATTGTTTTTTTAATCCAGCATCGAAAGCTTGAGATCCTGGTGTAGACACTTGGAGGTGTCCCCTCCTTTTGCCCAAAGGACACAATGCCCTGGGCCACATTTTTACACACAAAGGGACTTCCTGAGTCTCCCTGTGTGCAGAGAAAGGACAGCCTTAGCAGGCCTGCTCCAGGTCCCATACTGTCCCCTCCCCAGGTAGGGGGCTCCAGCCTGACCCTGACTATTCCTTCCAGTTGACTGATGCTCCTTCTCCAGTAAGTCTCTGTCCATGAAGTGACCAAAGGGCAGTCAGTCTCCACTGACCCCAGGACCAGAGACTGAATTGGTGAAAGGCTTAGTACACAGGGGTATGATTAGTTCCCTTTGCCCTGGTTTTCCTCAAACTCTGCTGTGTCCAAGGCAGGGAATAGCCGATGCAGGTGCACTTACCTTAAAAGAAGCCTTCCTTCTCTTTTGGGTTCCCCACACAAATATGGATGGTGGAGTTGTATGGTTCTTTGAAACGAGAGAGACATTCCTTGTCCTTTTGGATTTCAAGCTGTACCTCATGCAGTTTCGTTGTGGATATGTTTTGGCCACTGCGTTCCCAACCCGCCAGAGTGCACACCATCCCTGGTATAACCTGGGAATTTTCTGAGGGTAACTTGAGGAGGCTCACTTCAGCAGTCAGCTTGGCCTTCTTTTCCAACTAAAGGCAGATAAAGGGAATTCTGATCAACACACCGCTCAAGAAAATCCACACAGTCATGGGGTTGCCATCTTCATGGCACTGGGACAAGTGAAGGCTTCATTTTAGGAAGGAGGGTTGGACAGAAGGACATGAGGATTTAATCCTCCAGGATCGAAGTGTGCAAGACCCATTGGAATGGCATTCCTCACCTGCAGTAACATGATGTCATTGAAATAGTTGCTGTTGTAATCTGGATGGGGGAAGGCTTTTTTTACAGGGATGATCTGCTGGGTCCTCTCTTTCTCTTTGATATTGTGGGCCCCCAGGGTGACATTGATGGAACTGTACCAAGAGCAGAGAGGGAGGTAGAGTCACAGGGGATACAGCTCAGGATCCCTGAAGGAAAATGGTTACTCAGGGCCAGGCAGGGTAGAGTTGGGAGGACGTGTAGGGGAACAGGACTCTGGGCTGAGTATCTCTGGCAGCCAGGGCTGGTGAAGTTCCTGGAGCAGATGGAGTGTGCTCAGTCATGCACAGAGCTCAGGTGTCTCCAGGTGAGACTCTGAAATTCTCACATGTGCACTCTGGGCTCTTGGGGAAAAACAGCCTCCTTCCCATCCAGCCTTGATCCACATTCTCCCTTTGTATAACAAGCCACCTGCACTGACCTGCTCCTCTCTCCCCAGAGCTTACCTGCCCTCCACAGAGCTCTTGTCTTCAGCCCCAAAGGAGGGGAAAAAACCCTGTGGAGTTTTCTCTAGAAAGGTCAACTTACCTTCCCCAGCAGTGGGCTGCCGTTACAACAAAGTCTTCACATACAAGGAAACCCCCACATCGTTCTGTTGTGTTTAGAGTCTGGATACGAAGAAATGCCATGTAGGGATGAGAATGAGGCACAGCTTCCCGGCCCCCAATGATTTTGCCTGAAAGAAAAGTTCTGTCCTGCCCTTGGTGCTCATGGAGCCAAAGGCTGAAGAGAGGAGACTTTAGGGAGGGAAGGATTGAGTGTGGTGGTATTACCATCTAGGGGTGCGGGGTTCATTGGCCTTGATAAGCAAAGAATTGACCAACAGGATGCAGAGAGAGCAAGCAAGCAGCAGGTTTATTGCAAGAACATCAGGCATATTTCTCTGAAGAGAATGTCCCCAGACATTCCCAGAGCTGGGAATCTGGTGGGAGAGTTTCCCTTGTTCTTTTATAGTCTCTGAAATTTCCTTTCTTTCCTTACCCTCTTCCCTGTTTACCTTCTCCTCACTATTATTGATTGGTGTCCTATCAGTACACATATCTGTTTTAGTTTTTCTATTGAATCCCCCACTTTGGAGCATAAGCACAGAAGTGTCTGTCTGATAGATCCCCTCCATTTGTGCAAAAGCACTTTTTCAAGCAGGAAGTTGCCCTCGTCAGAAGACCCTCTCCATGCTCCTTTGTTCTGGCCCTGCCCCTGGTCTCCTCACTTGCCATATAGCCCTGGTTACTCAAGCCCTTATACATGTCCCTAGGGGCAGGGTCTAAGGAGCCAGCAGCAGCAAACATGGGGCCCTGAGTGTTTGTCAGGCAGCATTCATGCTTGAAGAGTGACTCACAAGACTCAGATACTCCCTCTGACCAAGAGCAGGGCAGTCCTTGCTTTAGACGTCAATGTTGACTGACAGGATTTGAGTTTGGAACAAGTAGCAAAGTCCCTACAGATCCTTGTCAGTCCTTCCTCTGAAGTGTCTCAGTCTTCTTTCCTCCTTAGATCCCACTGAGCTCCCACTGGGTTCTGCACATAAAGTCAGGATGCTGAGTCGTGTTTTATGTTTGTCTGCTGGAGACAGACACCAAGTAGGTGCCCAGTAAAGGTCTTGGCTTTGTGAGGGGATGGCTCAAATTTTCTAATTTTTTTCAAATACCCAACTTTTTGTTTTGCTGATTGTTTGGATTGTTTCTTTTCTTTCAATTTTATTGATTTCAACTCTGATTATAATTATTTGCTATCATCTACTGCTTTTGGTGTTGATTTGTTCCTCTTTTTCTAGGGCTTTGAGATGTAATATTAGGTTATATTTTTGTTGATTTCTATTCTTTTAATGAATGAGCTCAATGCAACGAACTTTAGCACTGCCTTTATGGTGTCCCAGAGATATTGATATGTTGAGTTTATATAGTCATTTACCTGTAAGTATTTTTAAAAATTTCATTTCTGATTTTTTCTGTTACGCATTCTGCTATCTGTGCTATCATTCAATAGCATATTATTTATTCTCCAGGTGTTAAGAGTAGCTTCGAGTTTTTATTTTATCTTTGATTTCTAATTTAATTCCATTATGATATGATAAAGATGCAAGGTATTATCTTTATTTTTTTTGTATTTGCTAAGATTTGCTAACATTATTTTAGAGAAGAATTTATGTACTGCTGAGAAGAAAGTGTATTCAGTCTTTGATGGATGAAATATTCTCTATATGTCTTTTAAGTCTTAATCATTAATTGTATTTTTTAGTTCTATAGCTTCTTTATTTAGTATTAGTTTGGAGATCTATTCAGTGGTGAGAGAGGTGTGTTAAAGTCACCCAGTATTATTGTGTTGTTGTCTATTTACTTCTTGAAACTGAGAAGGGTTTGTTTGATGTACATAGATGCACCGTTATTTGGGGGATACATATGTTATGTCATATTGATGCATGATTCCCATAAGCAGTATAAAATGTCCTTATTTGTTCCTTCTGATTAAGTTTGCTTGAAGTCTACTTTACCTGATATGAGTATAGAAACCCCTGCCTGTGTATGTAATCCATGTGAATGGTATGTTTTTTTCTATGCTTTTACCTTCAGTCTGTAGATGTCTTTGCCTGTGTGTTGAGTCTCTTGGAGACCCCATATTGGTTTTCCATGGAATTTTCTTTGCAAAATAATGTAGGAGGTGGGCTGTCCAGTTCCCAGTGGGTTACGGTTACACTCAACTCTGGAGCTGCCACAGTCCGGCTGCAGCAAAATAACGGGGGGTGACGAACAACTTGTGTACATTGATACAGCAGGAGTGGGAGCCATTTATTGTAGGACAACAGAGGTATTTATACATTCCACATAGCTTATCTTAATTAACATAAACTAGATACAGCAGTCAACCAATAAGAAATCTCCACACTTAATGGCTCCCCGGCGCCACCTCACAAACCACTCCCCCTGGCAAAATACCAGGCGCCATCCTGACTTGTTTACAGACTCTAACAGGAGCTATGAGAGCTGTATCTCCAGTAGAGCAAACACAGAGATCTCATGCCTTGGGTGATCTGATATGCATGGGAGAACTGGGATAGTTCCCAAGGAAAAAAAATATAAGTCTCCATGGCTTGGTACCCAGTGAGGATCCCTCAAGTAGCTCATGGGTGTCTCTCCACAGAAGATGTTCATGAAGGAGGCTTGTCTGTTAAATAGTATTGGAGCTCAAGTGGGGAAAAGGGGCCACATGGGGGGAGGCAGTGTACTTGTCAGAGCAGGCTGAGTAGAGTGAGGCAGGTATTGTCATGAAAGAGCTCCCTGCTGTGGAGCATCAGAGCCTGGATATAGAGAGGAGGGGGTGCAATAGGAAAAGAGAGATGTCAGTGGTGGAAGACTTGTTATATGAATCTCCATGAGCATGCATCAAATAAGTAAATATTCAGATGACTTAACCAGGTTTCTCACTGTCTGAGGATTAAAGTGTATTGGTTGTATTGATGTTAGTTTTTTGATTCTGATGGTTGTATTGTGGCTATATGAATGTTCTTGTGTGTGAGAATTAAGCACTACTATTTTGGGGGAGTTATGGAGCTCCCTGCCAGTAATTCCACTCTGAAATAGTTCAGGAGAACAAAGTTCTTTGTGTGCTCTTGTGATTTGTCTGTAAGTCTGAGATTGTTTCAAAATTAAAAGAAAATCCATAGTCATTACATGTACAAAAAACAACCAGTTAGTAGATATAATTGAAAAGGAAATCTGTTACAACAGTAACAAAATATATGAGACGTTTTGGGAAAACTTGACTAGAATTGTGAAAAACCTATTTGAAGGAAACTGTAAAATACTCTACTGGAATGGAAGATGGTGGTGTTGAGGAAAGCTTCATTCCAACTCTGCCATGGCCTGGGAATAAAGCAGCGGGTGGACAGCTCCTTAGTGAGATGGGTGAAAGAGGAATTTCACTAAAATTCAATATTTAACACTCAACGTGGTTTAGAGACTCAGAAATTTGGGTACAATAAACAAAAAAGAAAGAATACATCGAAGCTGACCCAGGAGCCATGTAGGTGCCACAGACATAAGGAAGGGGAACACAGTTTTGATATGGAAAAGGCTGAGTACTAAAATGCTGCCTCAACTTAGCTCATCACTGTCCACTGGTGCTTGAAAAGCATGCTCTGTGTCTCACCTGGAAAGCAGAGGGCTGAGGCAGGAGCCATCTTGGCATTAATGACTTGGAGCTGTGACTATGGGGCCCCAGGATATCAGGAAGAAAATAAATAAATAAATAAATAAATAACAACAACAACAACAAAAACTGTGAAAATACCCACAAGTCACCTATCATGTGACCTATACTGTGTCTGGTAGAATATGAGTGAAACAAGCTTAGAGCAGACTATACCCAAGGGGATTCAAATTGGCAGGGTGAAGGGGAGCCCAGTTCACTTCTCCTTTGTGTCTGGAAGCTCATGTGCCCAGTTGGTGTGGGATAGGAATCTGAGCAAGCAGTTGTGAGTACACTCAGAAACTAATCCTGGGAAGGCTGTGCCCCTGGTCTGCAGTGAGTGAGGACCATTCCCTCAACCCCATGATTGTTTTTCTTGGGAGACTCCTGAGAATCAAACTCACATCAGAAATGGGCTGCTGTTAAGCCCTAGGGAGAGGTGGTATAATCTCTTGAAAGCAGGCCTCACCCAACAAACGCCCTGAGGCCTGATTAGACTCCAGTGGCAGCTGCTAGAATTCCCCTCATAGAATGCTGCAGAAGCTGTATCCTGGGAATTGACTGAACTGGTCCAAAAGGACAAAATTCCAACTGACAGCTAATAATCCATCTCAACTCATACTGGTGAGAAGGAAATAATAATTATAATTATAATTATTATATTTGCATAATATAATAATTATAGTCATTAAATAACTATATGGAATATATATTTAAATATATAATAAACATATTTTAAAATATGTTTTTATTAAGTATATATGAACTAGATTAGGAATTTATTAAATACATGAATATGTATGAATTAGATAATGATATTTATATATTTGTTGTTGTTATTGTCGTTAAATGCAAAAACCACCATTCCTACTTAGGTGGAAAATAGTATTAAAGACATTGAACAGGACAACAGATATTTAACGTAAGGTTACACATTTTCTGCTGATATTAGTGCCAATCCTGGATCCCTCTTCCACTAAGATGGCTGAAAAGAGATTGGGACACTTCAAGATCATAGAGCAGAGACCCAGCAGCTGAGAAATACTCAAATCTCAACCAGCAATAGTAAACCTGCCTTCACACACAATCTTCTCTACTTGAGCCCTGACATTACTCCAACTCAAAGAAGTGAAGAGATGAAAGCCCCAAACCAACAACAAAGACACAGGAGGAGCAATCTGAGAGGGAACTGAGGTCTCAACCCTGGGCATCACCACAAAATTCACAATCACCCAACAAAAGAACCCACTGTTAGCAAATGTATAAAAGCCTAGAGAAATATTATATAAAAATTGATTATTAAAATGTCCTTGAACCAAAAGAAGATCTAAGAAAGTAATAAGGGAGCAATTATAGGAGATGAAAGACAGCTTAATCAAGAAATCAAATAGTAAAAATAAATCAAGAAGAATGCTTAGGGGCTGGGGTTGTGGCTCAGCAGTAGAGTGCTTGCCTAGTACATGAGAGGCACTGTGTTTGATCCTTAGCACCATGTTAAAAATAACTAACTAAATAAAATAAAGGTATTATGTCCAACTACAACTAAAAAAATACTAAAAAAAGAAGAATGCTTAGAAATGAAGGATACAATCAATCAAATTAAAACCATTCTTGAAGTCTCCACTAACAAATTAGACTGCATAGAAAATAGAACCTCAGTCCATGAAGACAGAACTTTAGGAACTTAAGACAAACCTACATAATATTGAGCACACAAAAGGCAATAAAGGGAAAAATTATAGAAGATGTCCAGAATGTACAAGAATTATGGGACAACTGTAAAAGAGCAAACTTGAAAATCATAGGTATAGAAATATGGAGATGCAAACTGAAAGCATAAAGAACATTCCCAGAAGATACAAAAAACTTTTCTTGTATCTTATATACAGGATGCTTGAAGGACTCCAAACACCTAGACAAATGAGGAGTTTGCTAATTTACATCATAATCAAAATGCCTAACATAGAAAATAAGGAAAGACTATAAAAACCCACAATAGAGAAACACCACATCACATTTAGAAGCAAACCAATAATGCTCACTTCTGATTTCTCAATTCAGTCTCTAAAATCAAGGAGGAGTGAGATATTCAAAGCCCTAAAAGAAAACAAGTGCTAGCCATAGTTAGTATATCCAGCAAAGCTTCATTTCAAATTTGAGAGGGAAATAAAAACTTTCCATGACAGAATGAGCTAAAACAATTCATGAGCACCTAGCTAGCACTAAGAATATTCAAAGACAAATTGTGCAGAGAGGAACTACAAAACAATCCCCAGAGCTCCAAATTAGAGCAAGTTCAGTTAAAGAAAAATCCATTAAATGAGAATCAAGACAGAAAAAATATTGCAATAAAAAAAAGAAAAAAGCAAATGCAGGAAATCAGAAACACAAATCCATACTAATGCTGAAAGGTAAGGGTCTTAACTCCCCATTCAAAGATACAGATTAGCAGAATGGATAAACAACGTGATCAAACAATAGGCTGTTTAAGAGACTCAGCTTAGAGGCAAGACATCATAGGTTGAAAGTAAAAGTATAACAAAAAAACCCTGTATTCATATGATCCACAAACAGACAGGTATAGCTATTCTTAAATCTGACAAAGCTGATTTCAAGCAAAAATTAATCAGAAGAGACAAAAGGTCACTACATTCTAGTAAAGATAACAATCCAACAAGAAAATATAACAATAGTTAACATGTAAGCCCCAAATGTCAATGCACACTTTACATGGAAAAAACACTCTATGACAGTAAATCCCATGTAGATGCCAACACAATAATATTGGATAATTTTAATGCACCCTTATTTCCAATAGTCAGATCATCAAAGCATAAAATAAATAAAGATATCTCTGACCTGAACAACACTATAACCAGCCCACCATTACCACTAGGGTGGGAATTATGTAATTTCCTTTACAAATCTGGGTTCTTTTGTGTCTTCATATTGGTTCTGAAGTAGGATAGGGTAGGGATGTAGGTATAGAATGAGGTAAGATGGCACTGTAGGAATGAGTTTTGTCTAGAGAGGGTCCTTTCTTCCTGGGTAGCTTAAACTCAGCTTGCTGCAGGGAGCTGGTATTGAACAGTTATTTGGAGCCAGTATCAACACAGCAAGGTTTTATATTCTAGAGGTGGAAGGTGGAGTGTGCCTGAGGGGAAGCATGTAAGGAATCATAAATGTGA